CCCATTTGTGCCAGCCATAACAGCCGAACACGTGCTTGTCTGACCTTGTCTTGGTCACTAGGAGGTTAGGCACCTGCCTCGTGGCAAGGAACCAATCAGAAGTTAGCTGGTGGTGCTATGCTTTACGGCCCTGGGTGTGCTTTATGGACAATTGCACAGCAATGACCTGCAGAGCAAAGCAACCCCCGGGGAGGGCCTATGGGCCATAACAACCAGTTGACCAATCAACACAGGGCAAGCCCTCCAAGCCTGGAGGCACACCAATCCTGAGCCTGTGCGTACCCCTAGATACTCCCCTTACCCTGCCCTGTAAGAGCTCTATGCAGACGCTTCGAGCAGTCTTTCCTAGCCATCTGCCATGGTGGGTGGATGAAAGACCCGAGCTTGCACCATGGAGTCATCTAATGGGCTCTGAATATGGTCTGAATTCTGCATATTCTGACTTGCCTAATATGTATAGTTCACATAAATGGAATCATGTGGTCTGTGACTTTTGGGGTCTGGTATCTTTTACTTAAACAGTATTATCTAGGTTCCTGTGCTTTGCAGCCCACAGTCACATACCTTCAAGTGCTCTCATCATGGACTTATCAGCAAAAACACAATTACGTTGTTTCATGTGTTGTGCCAGCAGAAGGTATGGTCCAGATATAGGGTGGATCTTCCTGCTTCTAATAATCTGGTAAGAAATCCCTCACAGAGTGTCCAGCAGCCTGGGTTTTAGTTGATGCCAGATACAGTCAAGTTAACACTCAAGAGCGGCCATCACAGTGCCCAGTCCATGGTCTCTCGACTATTCTTACATGTGACCTCTTGATGGCAGGTACCTAAGGTTCTTTTCAGAAGGGCTTCTTGCTGCAAACTCCATCCCATCCATGCCAGGGTTGTGAAGGGATACCCTGTTGATTTGTTTCCTGCTCTGCTGTGAGAACCTGGAACAGCAGGTGGTGATACCAGAGATTAACATAGTGGAAGAGTAACCAGTAAGATCACAAAAAACTTCTTGTAGCTCCCTCCCCATTCTTCCCACGCTCTCAGTTTGCTCAGCAGATCATGACACTTTCCGCTTCTGCAGAGGACAATGTTCATCTCTTTTAGGGTCCGCCTTGTTTAATAGTTTCTTTGGCAGCATGAATTGTATGCTGGTAATCCTTTACTCTATGTCTAAAATCAGCATATAAGTGAGTACATATCATGTTTGTTTTTTGTGATTGGGTTACCTCACTAAGAATGGTTTCTTCTAGTTCCATCCATTTTCCTGCAAATTCCACTATTCCATTGTTTTTTTTTTTTTCCCTCTGAGTAGTACTCCAGTGTGTAAATGTATCCCTTTTACTCTATCCATTCTTCAGTAGAGGCATCTAGGCTGCTTCCAGTTTCTGGCTATTACGTGTAGTACTGCTATGAACATCATTGAACAAATATCCTTATTGTATGAATGTGCTTCTTTTGGGTATATGCCTAGAAGTGGAATTGCTGGATCTTGTGGTAGACTGATTCCCATTTTCTTGAGGAGTCACCATGCTGATTTTCAAAGTGGATGTACAAGTTTGCACTCCCAACAGCAGTGTAGAAGTGTTGCCCTTTCTCTACATCCACTCCAGCATAAATTGTCATTGGTGTTTTTTTTATTTTAGCCATTCTAACAGGAGTAAGATGGTATTTCAGAGTTGTTTTGATTTGCAGTTCCCTGATAGCTAAGGGTGTTGAATACTTTCTTATGTGACTTTCAGCCATTTTAGATTCCTCTATTGAGAATAGTCTATTTAGTTCTGTACCCCACTTTTTAATTGGATTGTTTGGTGTTTTGGAGACTAGCTTCTTGAGAATTTTATATTTTGGCGATCAGTCCTCTGTCAGTTGTGGGGTTTGGTGAATATCTTTTCTCAGTCTGTGGGCTGCAGGTTTATCTTGCTGACTGTGTCCTTTGCCTTACAGAAGCTTCTCAGTTTCAGGAGGTCCCATTTATCAATTGTTGAACTCAATGGTTGTTCTACTGGTGTTATGTTCAGGAAGCAGGCTCCTTACCAATAATTCAAGGGTATTTCCCACTTTATCTTCTAATAGGTTCAGTGTGGTTGAGGTCTTTGATCCATTTTGACTTAAGTTTTGTGCAGGGTGAAAGGCTTCCATCTATCTGCATCTGTCTGCATCCAGTTATGCCAGCACCATTTGTTGAAGACATTCTCTTTGTTCCAGCGTATAAATTTGGATTGTTTGTCAAAAATCAGGTGTTGGTAGGTGTTTGGGTTAATATCAGGGTTTTCAACTCTATTTCATTGGTCTACCTGTCTATTTTTGTGCCAATACTAAGCTGTTTTCAGGACTATAGCTCTGTAATAGAGATTGAAGTCAGGGATGGTGACGCCTCCATAAGTTCCTCTATTGTACAGGGTTGTTTTGGCTATCCTGGGTCTTTTGTTTCTCCATAGAAAGTTGAGAATTGTTCTTTCAAGGTCTGTGAAGAACTGCATTGGGATTTTGATTGGGATCGCATTGAATCTGTAGATTACTTTTGGTAAGATTGCCATTTTTACTAAATTGATCCTACCTATCCAAGAGCATGGGAGATCTTACCATTTTATGGTATCTAATTTATTTCTTAAGAGAGTCAAAATTCTTATGGTACAGTTCTTTCACTTTTTTTGGTTAGTATTACCCCAAGCTATTTAAGTTGTTTGTGGCAATTGTAAAGGGTGATGTTTCTCTGATTTCTTTCTCCACCAATGTGTCATCGGTATATAGTAGGGCTACAGATTTTTCTGAATTAATCTTGTGTCCTGTCATTTGCTGAAGGTGTTTATCAGATGTAGGAGTTCCCTGGCAGAGTTTTTTGGGTCACTTATGCAGAATATCATATCATCTGCAAATAGTGAGAATTTGACTTCTTCCTTTCCGATTTGTATTCCCTTGATCTCCTTTTGTTGTCTTATTGCTCTAGCTAGATCTTCAAGAACAATATTTAAGAGGTATGGAGAGAGCGAATAGCCTTGTCGTGTCCCTGATTTTAGAGGAATTGCTTTGAGTTTCTCTCTATTTAATTTGATGTTGGCTGTTGGCTTGCTGTATATTGCTTTTATTATGTTGAGGTATGTTCCTGTTATCC